GGCTCCGCCTCTGGCTTTGCCTCTGCCTCCGTCTCTCATCCTCGCCCTCACTTTGATACTGCTGCTCACACCAAATGGTGGAGTGGGCGGCTTGCCTAATGCGCCACCACAGAGAGTGTTCACTGAGAAGTGGGGTGATGGAGGAACGGATGTTATGCTGGGTGGCCACTCATATCCCAGTGGTGGCGGCTGATCGACCTCGAGGCGATTCGCCTCGGTCGCGGAAAGGAGATTTGAATGAAGCGGTATTGTGCGACTCACTGCTGAGGTATGGAAGGCGTTGCGAGGTGCATAGTCAAGTGGTCCGTAGCACCTCTGTTGGTGGATGCACAGAGAGGCGCTTTGCTCACTCTCGAGGGCGAGGAGAGGGTGCACCGACGAGAAGTGATGCACCATTGTGCACGTTTGTCCCAACTGGCTCGAGACGACGTGGACTTGGTTGCTGCAACACTGCACGACAATCGACGTTGGCAGTGGGTGGTGCATGAGGATGACATCGATGTGCATGAGGTGGGACACTTCCTTGCCTAAAAGCACTGTCATCGCAGCATTGGTGAGAACGTCCCCACTCTCGCAGCAGGCGGCACGATGCTTGCTCTTGCACACAGTCTCCAGATGCCCACCATCGCAGCACAGGTGGATGGAAATGTTCGGTCTGGTGGGAGATACTTCGCTACAAGCGAATGTCACCTCCTCAGTCACCACGTCAGTGCACTGTCTTGGCGTTGGTGGAGGTGGTGATAGCGATGGTGTTGTGGTGAGGGTGTTGTGTGTGTGCTGCTGCAACCCTCTGAATTTCCATCCCATGGGGAAGCGAGAGAAGTCGAGCAAGTGTCGCATCTTCTTGCCAGGTGAAGTGTGTGGCTTTGAGGCAGATGGGTTGGCATTGCATTTGGCAGAGTTGGAGGCGGTGGTTCGTGGACGCTGTGGTTCACACGAGGGGGCAGTGGCGGGTAGGGGCGAGGGGTGGAGTTTCGAGCCATCACCCTTTCTTGTCTGTAGACGCAGTCGAGAAGGCCTCATCCCGAGATTGTGTTCACCTGAGCCTACTTGTACGTGCGGGTGTGAGTGTGGCTGTGGAGGTGTACTGCCATCGCGTGTTGATGATGGAGAGCCGTGACAGGTGGGTTTGGTGTGCAGC